AAAATTATCAGCAAAAGTTTTTTTTAAAAGTGAACTACTCCTTTTAATTCATGATCATGACAAGGATCGTAATATTAAGTATCTTACATTTTAGACACAATATTGCCAGTTACTTTGTGTAGTTCCAATAAAGCAGAACACAGTTGAACCTTTTTTTTCTAGAGTGCACATACTGTATTAATAAGCGATGTTGGGGGAATGTTACTTTTAAAAATAATGCATTACAATATTGCGTTACTGAAAAGCAAATATTGTGTTACTTTAATGGAAAGTAATGTGTTACATTACATTTGAGTTACTTTTTCCTCACTTGGGTTGGGCTTGCTTGTTTGATTTTTTAATAACAAATAAAAAAGTTACATTTTTGGCCAATGTAAAAGACCCTTTTACACCAAAATTGAAATGAATAAACCTCAGGTTGAAGGAACTAGACAGGGAACAAGAAAGCTGTCAGTCAATAAATGGGAGAAAAAACTTGGGTTACTTATTTGGAAAATATATTGTTGTAAATGTACACTATATTGTTGTAAATGTAAAAGTAATGTGAAACTTGTTACTCGTTACTAAAAAAGTAATCTGATTACGTTACTTGTAATGCATTACCCCATATAACACTGTTAATAAACTCCTAAAATATAAACTGTTTATATCCATGTGAAAAAGGCTTCCAATTAAAAAAAAATAATATACTGTACATCTCCAACAAATAAATAGAGAAAAAATGTGACATCCCTCTTGTTCAAAGCTGTTGTAGTCATGATGAAAAAGCTCATTGATTTAAGCATCTGTTTGTGCGGGCTTTGACCCTGTGCCCCCTGCCACAACATATTTGTTTTTCATGGAAATTAATTCATGAGATCTCTGATTTATTAGTGGACACAACTAATTGTTTTCCACTCACAGCGGCATGAATGATGATGGGGACGAGGGTATTCATCAAACTTCAAAAATAAGAGGAACCAAAGAGAGAGAAGCCAGAGGGGGAAAAAATAGATTTTATCTTTCACAGGTGGATGCTGCCTTACATCCACCTCAGCGTTTGCTGATCATTTCTAGGTTGTTTACAAGAAGAAAATGATCCCGACCATCATTTCACCACACTTGGAGGCGTTTAGTCATTTGTAATGCCATTTTGATACACCACTGCCCAAATACATCCCGGGTGCAGTGACCCACTTCAGTCCTGCAGCCCTAAAATTACATTATATTTGGAGCTCCAAGGTAACAAGTTACAAAGTAACTAACTTAAAGGGATACTTCACCTCTGGAAAGATGAATATGTATTTAAAATGGGTCATTTATGTAGAAGAAATGTGAAATTATTTCATTATCTTTCTAGACGGAGTAAAGCCAAAAAATGTATTTTTGGCTTATGTGGATGAAA